AAAAAAATTGTCCTTTTACATAAATTACCTGTTTTGAGAATAAGCAGACTTCACTCAAATTTGTTAACAAAACGTTGGAAAATATTATAAAACTTTGATTTGCTGTAGTAGTCTCTTTATAAGTATAAAAGGCTTTGCGGAATCCATTTATGCATTTTTGGAAATAGCTTCTACTAAGGATTCGTAATCGGCATATTCCTTCAGTGACTGCACAAGTTAATCCAGTAAACACTCTCCTTGCATGAAGCTTTCAAGATCATGCACTGACTTGTTTATTCTGTGGTCTGTGACCCGGTTCTGTGGAAAATTGTATGTCCTTATTTTCTCTGACCTTCCTTTAGTTCCAATCTATATATTAAAAAAAGATATAAAATGTGGTTAGATACATGTAAACATATTATCTTCAAATTTAATTATCTGGAAATTACATTTTTCAATTATATTGTGAAACAGAATTTAAGAATGAAGTTGTACACATTCCCCGATTCCTCAAATGGCATGAAAAGACACTGTAGAGAAAGAATATGGGCTTTAAAGTTGAGCAGATCCATTGTTGAGTTCTATTACCTTGGCCAAGACTTCAAGAAATGCAACTCAACATATCCGTTTCCCCATCTTAAAGGACGTACGGTAACAACTACAAGTGAAGATGTGTATCTAAAGCCCAGCACACAGTCAGTAGTGTATTTTTTCCCAAATAGCATGTGTGATGTTAAGGGTTAATTGTTCTAAATGGCTCCCACATGATTCAAATCCACCAGATGCTCCATCAGAGAAGGACTAGCCATCTCCTCCCATGTGATTTACAGCCTCTGAAAACCCACTGGATGGTCAGCTGTGGGTCAGATCCCACGAGCTCACGGATGGGCAGGAATATCCACAAGTGGACCAGCTCGTCTCTCCATTCAATTGAGAGGGTCCAGGAACAGATTTGGAGGAACCTCCCCGCCAGAAAAGAAACAGCAAGAGAATGCAACTCGACCGTTAGGACCAGAGATTCTAGTGCCAGCCAGACGAGGGCCCATCAGAGCAACAGTCACAGCAGCCACAGCGGAGAACCGAACACGTGACATGAGAAGGAGCAGAGCCTGGAACTGCTCTACCACAGACCAGAGCTAAGAGCCTTCCCCCAAGTTTGCTGGAGGACTGGGGTGAGGACGAGCCGTAGCTGGACAAAGAGCTTTGTGACACTGGCTTAAAGTCACAAGGCTCCAGGCTCAGGTACCTGTGAGTACATTTCAGAAGCTGTCCTGTATTGTTACTATTCTGGATTATATAACCTTCTGACTTCTCCAGTATGGGTTCTGTTTGGTCTGAGCGATTGTATTAAATTCTGGACCCAGTAAAGCAGTAAGATTTGGTGTTGAAATGAGTAGAAGGGATACACAAGCATAGGGGACATGTCTAATCTCAAGAAAACTGGTTTTGTGTTACTGAAGCTGTGGACGGGGACAGTGCCCCTTTGTGAAGTTGGTAAAGGTCAGGCATGGCCATCCCCGTGTGGTCTTTGCTGTTTTTACAGCATGCCCCATAAATGCCAACCTCACGTGGTTGGGCAGGTCTGGTCCAATGAGCAGGACCGGCCCTCTGCACCCTTGGTTCCTACACCTGCTGCCAGCTTGGTTAGCAGCCAGGTGGTTATTCCACGTGCCACCAGGGTGTCTTCAGTGGTGACACGGTGGTAGATTATCCATACTGAAGAACTCTCAAGAAGGCGTTTTAGTTGTAACATTACATAACAAGGAAGAAAGTAAGTCCTGTTGGCTTTCCAATTTTTTGCAATACATAATTTTTATTAGTTTTGTGTATTGCCAAATCAGATCTGACAGGTACAGGAGATGATTGCCCCTCCTTCTCCTGCACAGAATCTGGTGGATTTGAATGCCGTACCTCTGGGATTACAGTGCAGCTTCTTGTCATTAGGCCACTAGAGCTCCCTAGGTCATACATAATTATCCAAAGATTCAAACTGAATATACCATTTTATCAACATTGCTTGAAAGTCAGAAAAATGTCAACTGAAGACAAGGGGCAAGGCCAGCCCTTGGTTAAGGTATCTGAGCCTTTTTTATCAAGCACATGAAGATATTTTTGGCATATATAAACATTCAACATTCAAACTCGTTGCCAGCAGGCAAGTCTCCGTGGGGATCTGATGAGAAAGGCATGAATCAACAGTAATTGATTATATGAAACAGTGTATCTGAATGATTGTATAAAACACAAAGCACATGGATGGAACATAATGTATATGAATGATTGTATGAAAACAAAACAAAAAACTGTACTGTTGAGGAGTTGAAAACACCTCACTGGAGACCGTCTATAGGCTGTAAATCCCACTGGAGGAGTTGTTGGTGGACACACCAGCAAAGAGGTCAGGTCTGTGGGTTAGCAGCCAACATGCTATGAGCTGGGTCACCAGAGTCCCTATGTAAAAGTTGTTGTTGTGTACGGTCAAGTCAGACCCGACCCATAGCTGACCTTCCAGTGGGTTTTCAGAGGTAGTCACTCATATGGAAGGAGAATGCCCATTCTTGTCCCGTGGAGCAGGCGGTAGATTTGAACCACGTGTCTTTGGGATTGCATTGCAGCTTCTTACCACTGGGCCACCAGAAGTTAGGTTAGCTAAATACTTGTTTAGAAGCTTTGATCAAATTCCACTTACCTGAATCTTCCTTGCCGCGTACCGTTTACTTGTTTCTTCTTCGAGCTGCATGCTGTAGAGTCTGGCCCGTAACTTTTTCATAGCCATCTCTCTGTTTTTCAGTTGTGATCTCTCTTGTTGGCATTCAGAAACAACACCTGAATAGTTTCATGAGAATGAAAGAGTTTTAATAGAAACATCTTCTTCAAGGAACACTGCTTTTCTTTCTCATCCTTTTTCTTCTTCCTTTGAGGGAGAAAGACAGAACTCTAATATAAAAGGAAGACAGTCTACAACTTAAAAGTCTACTGAAAAACCTGAAAATTTAAGTAATCGTGTAAAGAATATTTCAATACTGAAAACACACATTTTTATGCGCCGTTGAGTCACCTGCAACTCACAGCGACTCTATGTACAACAGCCTTCAACCCTGCTCTGTCCTGTGCCAATCTCACTGTCTCCGACACACCTACCCCCATTACCCCAGTCACTGAATCAATTCACCTCATAAACGGTCTTCCTCTTCTGAGTTGTCCCTTCACCCTCCCAAGCATGATGACCCTCTCCAAAAACTGGTGGTCCCTTGCAACATGTCCAGAGAATGTTAGATGAAGCTTCAGAATCCTTTCCTCCAGGGAGCAGTCAGGTCTAACCCTTTCCAGGATGAACCTGTTCATTTTCTTAGCAGTCCATGGTACACTCAATACTCCTCTCCAACACCACAGCTCGAAGGCATCAATTCTCCTATCCTTCCTAGTCACTGTCCAGCTGTCTAATACATAGCAAGTGATTACAAAGACCATGGCCTATATCAGGCACACCGTATTCTCCAGAGTGACACCATTGCTCTTTAGTACTCTGGAGAGGTCTCTAACAGCAGACTTTCCCATCACAATACACCTTTGAATTTCCTGGCTGCTGGTGCCAACAGTGTAGACTGCGGAGCCAAGCAAATGAAAGCTGTTAATCTCAATCTCTTCATCATCCATCCTGATGCTGCCAACTACCCAGTTTTGAGAATCTCTGTCTTCTTGATATTGACCCTCAATCCATATTGAAGGCTGCAGTCCTTGACCTTCTGCAGCCAGCGCTTCAAGTTCTCAGTTTCAGCAAGCAGGGCTGTGTCATCTGCATAACACAGAGTGTTGATGAATCTTTCACCAATCCTGATGCTACACTTCTCCTCACAGGGTCCAGCCTCCCGGATAATCTGTTCTGCATATAGGTTGAAAAGGTATGGAGATAGGACACATCCCTGGCATACACCTTTCCCAATTTTGAAACATGAAGTGTTTCATTGCTCTGTTCTGAAGACTGCCTCCTGATCCAAGTATAGGTTTCGCATTAACACGATCAAGTGTTCTGGAATTTCCATTCTGAATTCTGCACTAGAGCACAGGGAAGCCAAAGCAGAGGGAAGAAATCAAGATATTAAAGAGCTGAACAGAAGATTTCAAAAGGCATGTGGGAAGACAATGTAAAATAATGAAATAATGAAATGTGCAAGGAGCTGGAGTCAGAAAATGAAAAGGGCCAACCTTGCTCAGCATTTCTTAAAATCAAGGAAGTGAAGAACAAATTCAAACCTCGAGTTGCTATAATCAAGGATGCTTTAGGCAGAATATTAAATGATCCAGGAAGTATTAAAAGAAGATGGAAAGAGTATACAGAATCACTGTACCGAAAGGAATTGGCAGACACAGAAGAATTTCATAAAACAACATATGAGCAAGAGCCTATGGTGATGAAGGAAGAAATTCAAGGTGCTTTGAAGGAATTGGCAAAAATAAGGCCTCAGGGACTGATGGTACACCAACTGACATATTTCAACTAACAAATGCTGCCCTAGATGTGCTCATCAAGTTGTGCCAAGAAATCTGGAGCACAACCACTTGACCACTGACTGGAAGAGATCTATATTTGTTCCCATTCCAAAGAAAGGTGACCCAACAGAGTGTGGAAACTATAGAACAATAGCATTGATATCATATGCAAGCAAGATTCTGCTGAAGACTATCCAAAAAATGACTAGAACAGCACATCAGCAGAGAACTGCCGGAAGTCCAGGCTGGTTTCAGAAGGGGTCGTGGTACAGGGATATTGTAGCTGATGTTAGATGGATCTTAGCTGAAAGCACGGAATACCAGAGGAATGTCTATCTGTGTTTCATTGACTATGCAAAGGGGTTTGTGTGGATCACAACAAACAGTGGCTGACTGAGAAGAAACCACACATACTAAATGATAGTCACACATAGTTTAAGATACAAAGAAATGGCATTATCAGGATTTTAAACAGTAACAATTATAAAGAACCTCCACTGCTATTGAGACCCTTTAACTCACGGTGACCCTTATGACAGAGCAGAACAGCTAGCTCCACAGGGCTTCCCAGCCTGTCATCTAGAGAATCTGACTGTTGCAATTTCTCTTGAGCAGCAGCTAGTGGGTTCAAACCACTGACCTTCCTGTGAGTAGCCAACAGCTTAATCACAGCATTCCCAGGGGTCCCTAACCAGGGAGAATCACTATTACTATTCTGGAGTCTTACCCTCCAAATATCTTTTCTATTTATGTTCAGCTATTATCTATTACACAGGATACCAGCTTAACAAAGAGATTTTGCCATATTTAGAAAGGAAAAACAGATCAATCCAGCACTGCCAATTAATGAGAATCATGATGGTTTAAGATCAAGAGGATTTTTTAAAAATCCAAGTAATTTTATTCTTTGTTTTTACTTAACTCAAAACAGTTAATAACAAAAACATTTTAAAAATACTTCCAATACTTGGCTATATAGTTATTTCTCATTGTTGACATTTGGTTACTAGTTCTATTTCCAAATAGTAGTAACATCCTAATCCATCAAAAACATATCTTTTAAAGTTTGCAGCAGGCTTTTTAAACCTATGCCTTTAGATCTCAATCAATAGGGTTTAAAGCTACATAATCAGGACTCTGGCTCCTTGAGGCATGGCAGGTTTGAGGTCTCAGGGCAATTTTGGTGTTATTTGGGCCCCATGTGGGGGTCGGCAGAGCGGACATGCCAGATGAACTGGAGGAAGGACTTTGCCAGCATTTGGGTGTGCCGGGTTGCCAAGACCCTGAAAGGCCCGAGGGCCCTTTCATTGTTTTTATTCAGACATTCCTCTAGGTCGTATAGCCCTAGTGTACAAGTTGCTGTACTGAGGTAACTTGTGGTTGCTGTGAGGCTGAACACTGTGACACTGATGTGTAAAATGCATTAATGGTTGGTTACCCAATGCGGACAGAGAGTGGGGTGGAGCTCCCCAATTAAAACAAGCATAGAAGGAGGAGTGGCATTCACTTCCGTAATAGCTTGCCTCCGGAAACCCTATGAACCTGGAAAGAGGATCAGAGACACCCAAGCATTGAGGACTCTCCTTCATAGGATCGCTATGAGTCGCCTGTGACTTGACGGCTCTTAACAACACCACCACCACCTTCAGGACTGCAGCACAGCTTCTCGCCACTAGGCCACCAGAGCTCCCTAAGACTCCATGTTATCTTATGGACTGAAGCTAAAAACTCTCCACTCTCCACTGTAACACAAACAAAAATGCCATGGTTTGTCGAATGCCATGACATGGTCAGAACAGTATCATCCCAGGTTAGCTCGTTCCTCACTTTCAGCACTGTGTGTCTATCACTTGTCTGGTGCCAACACTTCAGAAAGAACGTGCCTCATCATCAGCCGAGAAAGTCTCACACTGGGAAATTAGTGCATCATAAAACATGAACAAACAATGGGGATCAGGCTTAGCGTGTGTCAGGACCGAATTTACAGTTAGCAAAAGGTGCTCCCGGAGCAAAAATTAACTTACACCCAGTGCTCCCGGGGATGGTCTGGAGCCGCTTTGCTTTCAAGTTCTAATTGGCAGCTACATTTTACTTCTTAAATAAACACTGGCCTTAACCTGACCAGCACTCTGGTTCTGTGTCTATTTTTTAAAAGCATCATTCTACTAGAAATGTCCCTGCCCTGAATTAAGCTTTGACTGTGAGCCTTACCATTAGCTAGAGCAGTTATGTCATAGACTTTAAGTTAGTTTGGTAGCTATCAATTTCCTTGACGAGGCCTTTGAAACTTGCTTCCACTTCTTTTAGTCATGGAGGTTTTCCACCTGGGCTGCAGGTGAGGGTAAAATATCCCACGGAGAAACTCCTTCAGAATCACACTGGGAAAATCACTGTCTGCAAGCTAGACGTGTGGATCTCTGAGGAACAGCAGCCCTGGCTGGTGGGATAACCTGCTGGACTCTTCAGATTCTGTCTCATCCACACCTCTCTGCCTTTGGTAGAAAGGGCAACTGCCACATTTAGGAAATCAAGACAGTTTGGGAAGTTCTTCATTTTCTAAAATGACACCCTATAAATAGGTTTCCGAACTTTGTCATCATTGTTCCAAGACTTTTGAGACCCAGTTTTGTTTTTTTTTTAAATTTTATTATTTTTGTGTGAGTGTACCGTCAAATCAGATCTGACTGGTACAGGAGGAGATTGTCCCTCCTTCCCTGGCAGAGCATCTGGTGGATTCGAACCATGCGCCTCTGGGATTGTAGTTGCAGCTCCTTACCACCAGGCCACCAGAGCTCCCCTAGAGACCCAGTTTTTAACATTTATAGAAGGGATTACTGGTGTTTACATACATCTCTGACGCTTTTTGTGCAAGGCGTGGAATTTGCTGTACCTCTTTAAGATAAAGTGTTTTCTTCCACTTGTTAACATTTCTGTCTTACAGACTATGTATCCCCGCTCCAGGTCATTTTCTTTGTAGCAAAAGGATGGGATGTGAATCTCCATGGCCACATCAGGTGGCCGTAGGAGGGAGGGCCAGGGACAGCCAGGGGCTTTTAAACATATATTGGCTTGCATACAAAATTTGTGTATTTCAAGAATTTTTACATATTCTTTTTAAGAATAACTGAGGTCTGCTGCCCACATCCTCTTTCTCCATGTCAATCACTGCATTAACACTTGAAATCCACACATATCTGATTAGTATGTTGAAGGCTTAATAACAGTTTGGCTATAACCTCTGCTTAATTAGCTAGAAACAACTCCCGGAGGTCTGGGGATAGACTAAGGGAAAGCTGCCTTAAAATCCTATGCAAAGCTGTGCAGATATGTGTGTTTCTGGGGACTAGATCCTCCTCTTCTTTCTGGAGTCGACGTCCCCTCCCTCCAGTGATTTATGCCTTTTTCAGTCATAAAAGAACCCGTAATAATTATTTTACTGTGAGGATATTTTTCTTTTTAAAAGTAATGAAAACATTTAGAACAAAAAGCAGAAGGTTTCTGGGAAGACCAATCACACTTCTTCATAGTCACTAATATGATAATTACTTCTCTCTGGCTTTGTAATTATCTTGAAGAGCAGAGTTTCAGCTCAGAAGGAATCGAAATTAATCAAGTAATTGAAGGTTGTTGCTTTTAGTGCACAATTATTTCAAGTACTTTTTGGGGTATAGTGGTTTCATTGTTCACATGGTTTTCCTGGGCCTTGCCCTTGACTTTGCCACATGGCTGGGTGGAAATATGCAAATAGGGTTTCAATGACTCATGATGGGATTGGCCAGTCCTGCCATCCCACCTGGCTTAAACTGAACAGGTTCAGAGGAAGAAATTGGAAGTCATGTTACCAGCAAGAGCAGGGAATGAAGCCCTGGTGCTCTGGGGTCAGAGATCCTACATCAGTGAGATGGGGGCTACCCAGGAGAGCAGCAGTAGCAACTGCAAAACCAGAGACCAACTCAAGACAGAGCTGTCCCGGAACTGTGGCTCCACAGAGCCAAGCCAGGACCAGGGGGCTCTGCCCAAAAGCCTGCTGGAGTTGCCGCACAGAGCCAAGCCAGCGCCAAGTGTCTCTGCCCAAGCCTGCCAGAAGACAGAGCTTCCCTGGGACTGACTGCTGTCCCACAGAGCCAAGCCAGGGCCAGGGGTCTCTGCCCAAGCCTGCTGGAGCTGGAGCTGTCCCACAGAGCCAAGCCAGGGCCAGGGGGCTCTGCCCAAACCTGCTGGAGCTGCCCCACAGGGGCAAGCCTCGGCCAGCGTTCTCTGTCTAAGCGTGGTGGAACTGCCCTGGGACTGCTATCCCACAGAGACAAGCCAGGGGCCAGGGGTCTCAGCCCAAGCCTGCTGGAGAAAGAGGAGGAAAACATCCCAATCGGCAGGGTGTTGGCTGTACGTTGTCCAGTTGGAACCGACCCATAGCTAACCCTCCAGCAGGTTTTCAGAGGCAGTAAATCACACAGGAGGAGACTGCCCATCCTTCCCCCAGGGAGCAGCTGGTGGATCCAAACTGCTTGCCTTTGATATTGTTGCACAGTCTCTTATCACTAGGTCACCAAAGCTCCCTAATTAGCAGGGTTAAGGTACCTTTGACACTGACCAAAAGACTTGAAGCTGAAGGTCAAAGGGCCTGTGAGCATGTTAGAGAACCTGTCCTGATGAAAGACCTGCACCCTGTGTCCACACTGAATTATAACCTGTTAACTCCTCTAGTAAAGCTCTTAAATATGAGAATGGCCTGGTGAGTTGTGTGTGTCCATTCCATGAATTAGTGGGCCCTGCCCACATTAGAGCAATGAGAGCTCTAGAAGGGACAGCTGTGTTAGAACTGGCAGACGTAGCAGGGTCAAGGGAACACAGAGCAGGAGGCACGTCTGACCGCGTGGGAAGTGGTTTTGAGCTGTGGATGCTGACCGCTCCCCTTTGTGAAGTTAGAGGGGTTCAGAGTTGGCTGCCCCTACCCTGGTATCACTCTTTTTACAACTTTAAAAAGGGATTCCGCCTGCTGTGACCCATTCTGAAGGAAATGGGGCATACCTGTGGGGAGGTGAACGATGCGGACTGCACTGTCAGTAGTATTTACATGCTGGCCTCCAGCTCCGCTGGCTCGCTTCGTGTCGATTCTCAGGTCTTTAGGATTAATCACCAGGTTAATCTATAGATAAAATAAATGTTGGGACTTTTGAAAAAAAATGATGCATACCAACTGTTCAAAGACAAGAAGTGTCCGTTTGCAAATACCGTGACACCCAGGAAGGCCTGAAGCTGACAGGACTGCTTTGCATTCTGGGTCTTAAACAAGTTCTCACCTTGGACAGGGTGCAGTCTTAACATTATTCTGTATTGCCATGTAGTGCGAAATATTTGAGTTTGTCTTTTCTCGACAGGTGGCTGGCTGCCCTACACTGGTTCTAGCTTTCTCAGGTTTTACACTTTAAAAACATGGCACATATAGACACATATTATTGTTATTCCTGTCATGTGCTAATGAGCTGTCTGCAACTCATAGTGAACATATTTACAAGAGCTCCGAACACTGCTCTATCCTGAGCCAGTCTTACTGTCTCCCATACATCTACTCCTATTGACCCAGTTACTGTGTCAATCCATCCCATCTAGGGTTTTCCTCTCCTGTGCTGTCCCTCCTCCTTTACAATCATAAGTCTCTAAAGACTGGTCTTTCCTGGCCACATGCCCAAAGTATGTGAGATGGAGCTTCAAAATCCTTGCCTCCAAGGAGCAACCTGGTTTCACCCTCTCCAGGATGGACCTGTTTGTTTTCCTGGCAGTCCATGGTACATTCAATACTCTTCTCCAGCACCACACCTCAAAAGCGTCAATTCTTCTGTCAGTGCTACAAACTGTCCAGATCTCAAATGCACAGCATGCAATTGTAAAGACTATGTCAGTCTCCAGACTGACACTGTTGCTCTTCAGTATTTTGTAGAGGTCCCTGAAGGCAGCTTTACCCATACCAATCACTGGGAAAATCTGTTGTGAGAAACCTCTCCAGAGTACAGAAGAGCAATGATGTCAGTCTAGACACTAAAGTGCACCTGATGTAGGCCATGGTCTTTGCAATTACTTGCTATGTAACAGAAAGCTGGACAATGACTAAGGATGACAGAATAATAAATGATGCTTTTGAGTGTGGTGCTGGAGAAGGGCAATGAATGCACGATGGACTTCTAGACGAACAAACAATTTTGTCCTAGAGAGGGTGAAACCAGGCTGCTCCTTGAAGGCAAGGATTTTGAAGCTCCCTCTGACGTACTCTGGGTATGCTGCAAGGAGGGACCAGTCTTCGGAAAGGGACATCATGCTTGGGAGAATGGAGGGAGACAGTGCAAGACAGGAAGACCCTTGATGAGATGGATTGACTCAGTGACTGCGGTAATGAGAGTAGGTGTGTCAGAGACAATAAGGTTGGCTCAAGATAGAGCAAGTTTCAGAGCCGTTGCAATAACAACAACAACAAGGCAAAGTAAAGTTATTTATAAAACCTTTTACCTTAACTATAGTTAAAAGTTCTTATTTTTTGGATTGAGATTCTAAATTCTCAAAAGCAGCACAAATCTATACACTGGAAGACCATAAGATAAAGAAGACACTCAATTCAACAAGGGCAGTGAGTCACTCTGGGGATGTGAACTCTGGGGGTCAGCTTGGGGACTCCGAGGAGTGGAGTGACAGCTGTGCCTTACCTCAGTAGGCTGCGGCAGTATCGCTACGGTCATGGTACTTGTGTGGACGCGGCCCTGGCGCTCTGTCTTCGGCACCCGCTGCACCCTGTGCACGCCTCCTTCAAATTTCATGTGCTTATAGGCGTCTGTACCACCAATGCTCGCAGATGCATGTCTCAGGCCACCTGCGTAAGGTAAGGTAAGGTAAGGTAAGGGAAGGGAAGGGAAGGGAAGGGAAAGGAAGGGAAGGGAAAGGAAGGGAAGGGAAGGGCAATTCCCTCATTATCCCTGCCATTTGTAAATAATTGGCCATCACTGCTACTATCTGGAAGTATATTTAAGAGCCACAAAAGAATATCATGTAACCATTCAGACTGTGAATGATGTTAATGAAAACATATTAGCAATAGTCAGCAGTGCTGAATGTGTAACGCTGAATATGGTTATTGCTTATATTACTAAATATGAATCATGTCCAGTGCTAGCAAATGGACTGCATAACAGATAGAAGACTTTGGAAGACTGTTAGTCATTCACTGGTTAGTATCATTGAATGACTAACCTTCTGTAAGCAGCCCTGGTGGGACAGTGCATTACGTGTTGGGTTGTAACAGAAAGGCTAGCATTTTAAAATCCACCAGCCCTCTGAGAGAGGATGATGCAGTCTCTTCCCGCAAAGATTTACAATGTTGTAAGTTAGATCCAAAGTTACCATAAGTTGGAATCAAAAAACAAGCACACCAAGTTTGGTTTTCCTGTTTTAACCTTTTACAGGCCACTCTTAAAAATTGGTAAATTTAACACATAGATCAATGGAATAGAATTGAGAATCCGCAGATCAGCCCATCTATCTATGGTCAACTGATTTTTGACAAGGAGATGTAATCTGTCAACTGGGGAAACGACAGCCTTTTTAACAAGTGGTGTTGGCACAATTGGAAAAGTATCTGCAAAAGACTCAAGCAAGACCCACACCTCACTCCATACACAAAAACCAACTCAAGGTGGATCGTGGACCTAGGACTAAAACCAAGGACTATAAACTTCATTACAGAAAAGCTAGGAACAACACTAGAAGTCCTAATCCACAACATAAAC